GCAGTATTAATATGTCACAACTTTTCTGTGTTAGACAGAAATTGAGTTTGGACTGACATGAGGCTTTCTAAATGATGACAGAGCTTTAATTTGTATTTTTTTTTTTGTGAACTCCCTTTGAGGGTGGTTCATGTAGGTCACCCACTTGCTTTCACACAGTACAGCCATCAATCATAAGAGTGTAAATTGCAAGCTGACATCTGCCTCCCTCACATTCGCCGTTGGTTCCTGTTCTGTGTGGCTTCTCACATGCACAGCATGTTTAATTTATAGCTCTTTAACTGGTTGGGTTAGTGACTGTTGTACTCTCAGCGTAACGGCACGGCCATGTCGTGTGATCAAACGTTATTGACTTGAACAGTCGATAACTGTGACAACTGTGGTTTTTCATTCTCAGTACCACAGAGAAGTGCGACTTAAAGCAGCATGCAACACAATGAATGGCCCGGCACACATCATTTAAGCATTTATGGAGAAGAGAGCTGCTCTTTTGAGCACATTAAAGTTTAATTTACACCTGCTTATGTCTTCAGATCAAGGTTATGTTGGACCCTTTTACATTCTGAATTAGTCAGTGTTGACTTATTTTAGCACTTGTGTGTTTGATATTGAAGAGATACTTTGGAAACATTATTAAGTATAAAAAGCATTGGTTTTTGCCTTTTCGTATGACTTTTTGGAGTCCTGCAGATGGAAATTTGTCAAAATATGATGAGAGAGGGGAAAAAGTTTGCATAGTACACTCTAAAAAATGCTGGGTTGTTTCAACCCAACGTTGGGTCAAATATGGACTAACCCAGCTGTTGGGTTACATTTTTTTAATGAAATTTTTAACCCAAAAGTTGGGTTAGTCCATATTTGACCCAACGTTGGGTTGAAACAACCCAGCATTTTTTAGAGTGTATGACCGGGCTCATTGGAATTCTCAAACATCATTGTTTAAATTCATTTGTGAGGGTTACTGTTGAACATTTTTAACTAGAAATTGGATTTGTTTCGCCGTGTTGGAGCCCAGGTTTGTTGTGAAGCTTTGAAACTGGTGTTGATGAATCATCTTGAAAGCCGTCACCATCTGCCAGACGTTTTTCAGGTCTGTTTACCCCTCGTTCGTGTGCCTTATCCTTTCAGAAGAAGTTTTACACTCTACACAAAGTCTTACAAGTTGTGAGCAGCGAGAGCATTGTGTCTTTTTCTGTATGGAAAACATGTCCGGTGAGCAGGCAGTTTAGTTATCTGAGCTCTCTCTCCATGATGAGGTGTGGTTTTTATTGGACCTTTTCCCCTGCTCGTAAAGTGCTGAGGGAGAGGCAGAAAATGAGTACAGCTTTACTCACATCAGACTCAAAGAACACCATGAAAAACTATAAGTGTACATGTTCTAGAAGTTTTCATGCTAATCATTTGGCTGCATAGTTGTGAAAGTGTTTTGATTTACACTACTATTGCTTTTTTATGCCATTTTCAAAATCTAATTTTTTTTTCTTTTGCAGCATGCAAATCAGTGTATGTGTCAGATATACCTCTTTGGTTTTTGGATTGTGTCTCACTGTTTTTTTTAATTTTTTATACATATTCATTATTAAAAAGTTTTCAAATGTTTTGTCATTATGTGATAAGACGTAATTTCACGATTCGATTCTCATTCACAAGATTTTGATTCGGTTCTCGATTCAATTCAATATCGATTATTTTGGATATATATCTTGTATACATTCAAAATTTTCTAACTAATGCTGTAAAATATACATGAGAGTCAGTTGGTACAACATTACTATACTATTGAAGGTTAAAACTGACTGATTTTGTAGGCTTATACAACTGCTTAAATTACACTTAATTAAGTTTTTATAATAAAAGTTACAATTACATAATAATATTTCTACTTAGGGCTGCACAATTAATCGAATTTCTAATCGCAATTACAATTATTGATGCCACAATTACGTAATCGTTAAAAACGGCAATTAATCGTTCAAAGTCCACTTATGTTATTCTGTGTGCTTAAGATGGTTTTTTTTCTTTCTACATGCTATCTTAAGGCTTTTTCCATTGTTTTAATTTTAGTTTTAGTAAAACACTATAATACCATTTATATTTTTACTTTTTTTATAATTTAAAGAAGAAACCAATCCGATGTATAGTTGTCATTTGAGGCTTAATACTATAGAAAAGCTCTAAAGGTGAATACGGATTGTAAAGTTGTACTCTTTCTTTTAACTTACCTTCGGATGTTTAGTCATGTTTATTTTGTGCTGAAACTGGTATTAATGTGGAGGAGATGATCAGTTCACGTGCGCCTCGCGCTGCTGCTTTTATTGAACCGAGGCGCGCCGCGCTACAGCGATCACTCCATTAAACAACGCCAAAATGGCATTTATTGTTTGAATACTGCAATACAATGAACATAATTTGAAATCTGAGACTTTGTTTCATATTAAAAGTACCAAAGCACAATGCTTATTGCGATTTATTGGATGGGAGATGCCCTTCAATGTCCCATCCATTAACTGAAAACAGGCTAGACTAATCGATTCTTGGGATTTATGAATCTATATCGTTTTGTAAAAATGAGAATTGATTATAATCGAGATATCCATATTTTTTTACCCAGCCCTAATTTTCAGGTGTTTTCTATATGCAGGGTTTCTGTGGGTCTTAAAGTCTTAATTTGCCCTTCCACAAATTTAAGGGACAGTTCACCCCAAAATTTTAATTGTCAAATTGTTCCAGTTGTACGAATTTCTTTCTTCTGCTGAATAAAATTAAAATATTTTGAAGAAAGTTGGTAACCAAACAGTTGACGGTAGCCATTAACTTTATGGGAAAATATATGGAAGTCAATGCTACTGTCACTATCTCTATAGGTCTTTAAAAAGTCTTGCATCAGAGCAGAAAGTCTTAAATTCATTAAGTCATGGAATCAAATGTTGCATGCTTTGCAAAAAATGTATGTCTTCCTCAGTATTTTTGTTTTTCTATACAAATATCTAAATATCCTTATCAAGACATACACTACTTAAGATGCAAAAGTAAAATGAAGTCTTTAAAAATTGAACATAATTTAGTTTATTCTTAAAACAAGAACAAATATATGTGAATGGGGTATTAAAATGTTTTCCCATTTAATTAATTTGATTGGCAGACACTTGCTACATTTTGATCAATTCCACAGAAAACAAGACGACGACTTTTATATAATTTCATTTAGCTTCTCAAGTAAATGTATCTTTTGACATTTGCACTGGAAAACAAGACAAAAATACTGAGGAAGAACATCACTTTTTTTTTGCAGTGTGTTCAGTGTGAAGTACAATAAGTTATTTTCCTGTAGTGGTTGGGAACCACTATATTCAAGCCTTAGCTTTGTTTTTTTTGTTTTTTGGTGCGTTTGTGTGTAAAATGATTTTTAGTAATGGGGATGGCTTGGAAATGTTGCTAATACAAATGATTGTTCCCTTCAAATTATTCCTTAAATTTTCTTTACTTAGTCTTAAAAAGGCTCTTAAATTTACCTGCAAACCTGACAGTTTTTTGACCTTACTTGCTTTTCCCCATTATTGTGTTATCAGCCATTTCAGATAAACCAGACCTAAATGACACGTAATAACAAAACAAGCTGTGGTTGAGTGCATTAGATGCTGGTCTCTTCATGTCTAATTGGGTTCCTCTTTACCGGAATAAGCTGCACAGTGGATCACACTATATGCTGATATATTGAGGCTGCTAGTACAATGTGCCAAACACTGTTTAACACATACAAACACATTTATGAAATATGAAAGACTTTGTGTAGAAAGGGGTTGTACTATCATTAAAATAGCTTTATCCTTCGCTACCCAGTATTTAGTCAAATACTATATTCAAAGTATGCAGGCAGCCTTGTTTGAAACAGTCTTTTGAGTTCAAGTTAGTGATGTAATCTCGGAGTCATATCTAGTTTGACTCGGACACATTTGACTAGCCCGATCATGTCCGGATTGTCAGCTAATTGATAGTGTGTGCTATTCTCTACTATTCTCTGTGAGCTAAAAATGTCATTTTTTAAAATCTCATCATTGAAAGCAAGCCGTTTCACACTGAGCTCCATATGTTTGGTTAGGTTATTATAGTTATGTTTTTATGTTATGTTATGTTTTTGAGTCATGTTTGTTATTTTATGCTGTATCTTTTATGAGGTTAAAGATGATGAACAAAACCATGAACCTAAATTTTTATAGGAGCTTTATCCCACATTCTTCTGGAAAGATTATTCGCAACAGCCTCTGCTTTACATCAATGGATATTTAGAGCCTCTTATCAACTCTTGCTAATTGTATATTTTAGTATTATAAATGTGTGTATGAACAAGTCTAATTAGCTAACACATTTGAATGTATTTTAACATGCTGCTTAACCTCTCTGTGTAATTCTGTCTTTGTCTAAGCTGTCTGCTAAAGTTAAATGCTTCGCGATATACATCACTGAATTTGAAGCATTAATAGGTCACATTAAACAGTGCTAAAGAGTGAGCTTTGACATTTAAATATTTTAACATCTCCCACTTCCTGTTGCCGTCCCCACAAGGCTGGGGTTTGACTATTATGTTAGCGCATACAAACTGACATAATATTAACATGAAGATTGATTGTTCGTCTATTTTCCTCATTAAACCTTTTTTTTTTTTTACATCTTGGTACAATCTGTTCTCTTAAAGGGATAGTTCACTGAAAAATGAAATAATTTATTCACCCTCATGTTGTTCCAAACCTGTTGTTATTTTATAATGAAAATCAATGGTGACCAGAACTGTTTGGTTGCAAATGTTCCTCAAAATATCTTCTTTTGTTTTACAAAGAAGAATGAAAGTCATACATGTTTGGGTAAGGGTATGTAACTTATGACAGGATTTTAATTTTGGGGTGAACTATGCAGATAGCTCTGAAATGCCAACTGATAATGTCATCATTACACTTACAACTTCCGTGTACGATTTATTAATCTGATTTCATTTATCTGTTTCAGGTAGAGGGATTTCTGATGTGGCAGCTTAATGCCAACTCGACGTAAAACCATAAATCCCTTGTGTAAAACATGGTGAGAGGGGCTCTTGAAACCGATGAGCTGACCAGGCAACACTGCTGCCACTATAGAGCAATCTAACTAACGTGAACGTGATGGGGATGATGATATTACACATAGCAATGATGGAACAGCCGCATTGACAAAGATTAACTGCTCTCACTCTCAGTGCGCTGTTGCCAACCAGCATGCTGCGGATACTGTCGCTCAAATTTGGCCGCGTCTACCGGTGTGGCAAGTTCCTCTTCATCGTAGCTCTTTTTGTGATCCTGCTGATGAACACTCACAACCTCTTCCATGCTGCGGATACTGTCGCTCAAATTTGGCCGCGTCTACCGGTGCGGCAAGTTCCTCTTCATCGTAGCTCTTTTTGTGATCCTGCTGATGAACACTCACAACCTCTTCGCCTCTTTCCAGAGAAACGAGCTCACCGACCGGCGATTCATCGGCCTCAACAAGTGTCCGGCCTGCTTTGGCACTAGCTGGTGCCGCAAGTTCATGAACGGCCAGGTGACCTTCGAGATGTGGGGTCGCCTGCGCTTCCTAGACTTTTTCAACGTAAAGAACGTTTATTTCGCTCAATACGGAGAACCCAGGGAAGGAACGCGCAGGGTCGTGCTCAAACGCCTGGGCTCCAACCAAGAGCTCGCAGAGATCGATCAGAAGATCTGCAAACGGGCCACTGGAAGACCTCGCTGTGATCTCATTCAGGGTATGTACAAAACGGAGTTCGCCCGACTTAACGGGGACGTAAGGCTGCTGACCCCAGAGGTGGTGGAGGGCTGGTCGGATCTGGTGCACTGCCCCTCGCAGAGGCTTCTGGACCGGGTGGTCAGGAGGTACGCGGAGACCAAGGACTCTGGAAGCTTCCTGCTGAAGAATCTTAAGGACACGGAACGAATGCAGCTGCTGATGACGTTGGCGTTCAACCCTGAGCCGCTTGTGCTGCAGGTATCCACACACTAGCCGATAACATATCTTCTTTAAATGCATTTCAAGTTGCTGAAGCACTGTGTCTGATGCCCGCTTGGGAGTTAAAGGGATTAACGATGCATCTTTGCATATTTTAAAGTTCTGCACAAGGCTATGTAAATAATAGATACGTTGTGTCTGTCGGTGGTCACTTAGAGATTTCTCTGCTTTGGGCAACAGCGTGCTTGTCATGAAGAGTTCCTTCAGACATAAATCATAAAGCATTTGTTATTCCATAAGCAAAGTTTAAAAACACAGAGGTGGCGTATTGTTCCGAAAGTTTTGTCCAAAACTTGTTTTCAGTATGATAAACATTTTCCACTTAAGGGTGTATAATATTGACAAAAAATGTGTGGTGGTTGGTTCACAGCAGTGACAAAAATGAACTTTCCCCATTAAGGACTGATATTTACGGCCCAGTAGTGCACAACAAATTTTAGACTACACAATGAAATCGCCGCAACACAGCGAAATTGGCACAACACAATATAAACAAGCCACAACACAACAGAAATGGTCCTATGCTTGGACACAAATGGGGCCTACATGTTTGCTACTTACTGACACATCAAGCTTCTCTTTAATAAATGCAGCACTTTGTCTTTTTAAGTGCTTTTAGAATTGAATGAGGCAAGGGATTTAATGCAGGGTCTAATGATCTAACGAAATTAAAATATTGATATCCAATATATTTTTCTGAACCCTTTAAGTTTCGATGGGACATTATATATCAGGCCATTTCACAATGCTGTTTCTATAACAGAGTGTCTATTTACAATAAGTGCAAATAACCCTCCTTGTTGACATATAGGCTATTTACACTAACTGACGCCCGCTAGGGCTGCACGATAAATCGAAATGGAATCGAAATCGCGATTCGACAGAAGCTGTGATTGTCATGCGTATCTTTCAGTGAAGCACGGTTCTGTGATCAGCAGTAAATCTCCATCCAAAGGCCAGAGGGCGCTCTCGCGCTGAAAATCCAAATACGCCTAGCAGATAGGGTTGTGACAGTGAGGAAATTTTCCCACCGGTTAATCGACGTGTGACAACACCGGTAATACCGGTATCACCTTGGGGGCGGGGCGTTCCCTCTTTTCCTCGCTTTCCTTCGCTTTTAAATAGCTTGTAAAAGCGGCGTGCGCATTTTACTTTCACTTTGAAATAGCGGCAATTCGGCGTAAAGCAATTGTTTGTTTTTAGTTCGTTTGAATTTTCCCTCTTTTCCTCGCTTTTAAATAGCTTAAAAGCGCCGTGCGCATTTTACTTTCGCTTTTGAATTAGCGGCAGTTAGGCGTCAAATGCTTGAATGCAACAACAAAATACAACGTCAAACTCACTTTAGCATATATATAAAACATAGAACTTTTATTAACAAAACAAATAAAAATACACCATGCTATAGGGCAAGCTATGCCTAATATAAAATAACAAATAAATTACATAAAGTTTAAATAGGTATACAAAACTGGAAATAGGCCAAGTAAACATGTATAATATATAACCAAATAAATAAGAAACGTAGAACGTTTATTAGCAAAACGAGTAAGAAAGCTTGGAGGCACACCTTGATGTCAAATAAAATAAATAAATGACACAAAGTTTAAATAAAGTAAAAATCAGCAAACAATGTGAAACCAATTAAATAAGAAAC